ATAACTCACATGCAAAACACAGTATTACCTAGTCAGACAGCTATAAGAGGTGTGCTATACACTGTTTCAAACAGATTTCATATTATACACTTGTTTACAGTTTAAAAGAGTTAAAAATTATATTTTCCATTTTGCAAAATTAATTTAACCCAAAATCTTTCTTCAGGGACCCCTATTTATTCCATACACCTATAAATATGATAATTTATTCCCTTGCCCCTTCTTGCAAGCAAATGGTAAAACAAGTTTAGGGAAGCTGCATGCCTTTCAGCATAGCTACTTCAGTAATTCCTAGATAGCTAATTTGTATTAGCATGAGAGATTATTCCACTAATAAGATTTAAATTAATCTGTTGCAAAAGTACTGCCTCAGAGTTGACAACAATCCAACCAGCAACACATTCATTTTTTCCTCTCTCACAACACACTGTTTACTTTCCAGCTACGCCATGCTCACTTAGCACTAAATAGCTTATTTTACTTCTATTACTACTGTACGGCACTTTTTCTGGGACTTTTTTTTATCATCATAAATTTTGTCCTTTCAAAGCTGTATATCTTCTTTGCCTATATGCTAGCTTCTCTCTTATTCATCCACTTAAGTGAACACTAGATCATTTATATTGAATACATCTTTCCTGATGAACTTTTACTATGCATTTATTTCTCTTCTACCTCAACTAATAAGAGTGATATATGGTTCTCAATTTGGCATCAGCCAACAACTGATTATAGTGTTCCATTCAAATACAGATAGCAATTACTAGTACAAACTTCCTATTTCAGAGATTTATATAGTGGTGACATGGCTGGATTCCACTCCTGCCATGAGATTTCACAACAGTGTCACATGTAATAAGTCAAATTTTTTCCAATATAAATGATCTCTTATGATATTATGGCTGGAAGCCACAGTATAAAATTGCTCAAGCTGACACTGCAAAAAATATGCTTCAACTTGCCTTTGAAATTCAACATTAAATTGTATTGTTCTTGTCAAAAATTGTTGAATTTTCTTTAAGCCTGTTTTTTATTAAAACTACTGATCGGTGTCTGAATACAAGGAGATAACATTATCCCCCAAAGTAGGTGGTATTTTCTTAAGTGAGGAATAATACTAATTACTGTAAAAGATTACTGACAAAAGTTATTGTGATCATTCAAATTCAAAAGAGACTAATACCACGTTTTAAGGGCTGTGTAAATTTTAGAGCAATATTTTCTTACTCAAACTACACTACAGCATGATGCATTGTCTTAACAGTAGAAAGACTAAGCCTAAGTTGACTCATCAATCAGTGGAATACTTTCTTTTCTTTAAGTTCTATGGCAGGTCAAGAAAGCAAGTTGTATTTAACTGTATAATTAGCTGCCCGTATAGAAAAACCAGGAGAAACATTTATAACTTTTCTTTAATTTAGGTAACAATGGAAATTTCTCTACAGCTATTCATTCCTTCATTTGTTGAATTCTGTTCACGTCTGAATATGAGATACTGTACTGTCTCTTTGAGCATAGCACTTGAGATCAGAAGCTTCATACATTCTCATATTTAATTCTATGGCCTTGAACAAAATGTTAATGTTTTTTCTTTCCTCTTCCATCTTTAGAATGTGGCTATTCATAATTAAGTGCCTCTTCTATTAATTGTAGTTATTAATGGTTTTATTGATTAATAGTTAATGAATTCAAAGTATTTTTGTGGACAAAAATATTCTCAACAGTGCAGAGAGGAAACCGGAATTTCAGTTATATTTAAAAATGTGAATTGAAAATATACTAATGTTCCAAGCGGCAATAAACTCAAAGAATTTTGAATTTGCCTGAAAAACACAGAAGTCACACTCAATTTTGTTTCAAGAAAATATTCTCGAATATATCTTATAATGGAATAATGAAGTACACTGCAAAACAAAAAGTTACTTCAAAATAAAAAAAAGTATCAGAATTTTTTAAAATTAGTATCTGCTTGTCAAAAATATTGATCAACTCTAGTTTCATATGTTATAATTATATTGGTAGATCACTTTAAAGATGACAGAAATGGTTTCACTATTAATCTATCAAGAGCTAAGTGACAGAATAGTCGCAAAATTACCCAGAGCCAAAAAGAGCCTCAACACCCTATATACACATCTTTTTACTTCTTCAGCTCCAGGTTCTGTGTCCCCTGAAAATCAATTCATCATCTCCATCACAGTAATTACAACATTCCTAAAAACAAATTGACTTGTCAAGTTAGTTCCTCCATGACATCTTCAGTGTCTTCAGTGACGTTTCTTTTAACAGAGAACGACAGCAGGCAGAAAAAACAGTGAGCTTCCTCCTGCCCCACTCCCCCTTCACCATAGGGACTGCAACAAAGCCAGGATTCTATTTCCTCCTGTTTAATATCATATATAGAAAATATCAAAACATGAAAATAGCAATTCATATTCTTCGTCTCATTCTATGACCACTATTGACACTGGGTATCATTTAATCTCTGGCAATTTCTTTAAAAGTATTCACATTAGGACTAAAAAAAAATTCCCGTAGCAGCCATGGCCACCTGCTAACTCCAGTCTCACAGCTCCAAGGGAATTCCCTTTAGCAAAATAAAAGTGACACACAGATAACAACCTAGACAGCTAATTTGTATAAGTTTGGCTACTTATAACTTGAGCAGTGCAGCCTCGCAGCTGACTTAATCCAGCTGTGACTATGGTCTGTAAACCAGCAAGTTTGAAAGAAAGGGAGCTGACCCATAAGGGAATGCTCTATACAACAGAGAAGAAGATATAAGCCAAAGCCTTTCTGCTTTCAAGACTCCTTGAATGTGGCTTTCTTTTTCTTCTTTAATAAAAGGTTATCCTTCTCACTACAGGCAGTTCATGAGACAGTGATCAGCATACACTGTCCTAAATCCCCTGATGCGCACTACGTTATTCTGCTGGCATTGCTGGCAAAACCCCTGAGGTCCTGTAAACCAGTCTATGAGCCCTTAACAGAAGTACAGCAATTTACACCAGTGGAAACTCTGCTCTAATGACCCTACAATGATTTATACCAGCTAAATCTCAGAACCCACTAGGGGAAATAGAGATGAACAGTCTTAAAAGGACAGCATCAAGAAAAATGTTTTTTTCCTTGGCACAATAGCTAGAAAAACGAAAACTCACACTGTTATACTGATTAAGGAGACTGTTGAAGAGCCATAGGAAAACTGAAGTACAAATCAGCTCCCCATTGTTGCAAGGCAACACGGAGACAAAGAACGTGGAGAAATTCAAACTTACACAACAAGAATTTCTCTGGAATTGCTACCATGAGTCTGAGAGTGCCTGTGCTCAGCTAAAGGGCTGTCACAGCCACTGGTATAGACATTTTCCTCGGAGGTGTTCTGTAGGTCACATCACCAGTCTACAGTCATGAAGTGTTCCTCCAGCAAAATCAGCAGCAGGTTGCTGCTATCTGCAGTGAATGAGAAAAGCTTCCTTCCTTCTTTTTTCTCCTGCCTTTTTTAATTTTTTTTTTTAATCTTTCAGTCTAAATGTCAGAAATTGACATATCCACTCCTTCCATTGCTTTATCAGTGCCACAGCAAAGTAAGACGTGAAAATTCTGCACGATAATCTGCAGCCTGAGTCCTTTTTATGACAAACAAATATTTAAGGACAGGTCTCAAGGCTTTTTTGCTTGATCTCATTTGTGTTATTTCAGTTGTAGCTTTATATAAAATGAAAACCTCTGTAGGGAATTAACTACCAAATAACATAATGTTTTTTTCCACTGTTTACAATAGTTTGCCTACTTGTCCTCAAGTCATTGAGAAAAATACTTCAAATACTTTAAATTTTATAAAAACCCATGTAGTGTATTTTTACTAAACTAATAACAGTTTTATATTTTTACCCAGATATTTCACTTGGCATAATTTTCTTTTAATAATTAGGTCATCCTTTATAACATGGGTATATTTTAAAGAAACCCATAAAAATTGAATTTTACAGGCTAAAAGTTAAATACTAAGCACTAGTATGTGTCAGATAAATACAGACACACAATTAGTTGATGGTGCAGACTGTACTACATGTAATTAAAAAGTGGGCTCCGAGAATCCTCTAAGATTTTTATTAACAATTCATTAACTCTCTGAAATATTTAGGAACAGAACCTTAATATATTTAGTTTAGGAATATTTTCTTGGCAGACTGATCCAGTAGGAGAATAAGCAGTTAAAACAGGGCAGTATTGTGGTTTTAAGTGTCTGAATGTCAGTTTTTTTGCTAGCCTGTGACCTGTTCCAAAAGAAATGAGCAAGAATTGAGGAGTCATCGAGATTTCAAGATTTGTTCCTATCCTTTCTTCTAATTATGGAATTAACAAACATGCATCAAAACAGCACCTTCAATTGCTTCATTTTTCTCTAAAAAAACTGTTGCCAAACAATGTTGCATGGGCCACCAGATACCCACACAGTACTTTCTGGTGGTCTAAGAAGACTTAGTGAGTCACTGCCTGCCTCTTTGCCACCCGCTATATTGTACTACAAGCAGCTGAGAAAAGTGTATTACACTTCCCAATTGTTCATGTGAAGAACTGCCATTAGCGGACATACCCTGCTCAGTCAACATTGAAAGCCACAGAACCCTGCCCCAAGAATCTCCTGACATTCTGGTTCAAGCTATTCATGGGAAGTCCAATGAAACAGTTTTCCTCAGTGCTGCATAGAGGTTCTGCTGTCTGCTTCTGCCTGTCCTCCTGACCTCTGAGGATGCAGAATGAAGGAAAATAAACACAGACTTCTGACACCAAAAACCTCGGCCTGTCCCAGCACGGATAAAGATGGACCCTTCTGGCTAGGACTCATAAGCAACCTTCTACGTGTGCTGAAGGCATCTACTAAAGACAAATGTACGGTAATTCAGAAAATTTAAAAGCATACATTTCTTTCGTCTCTTGCTCCCCCTCCTCCCAACCATTAAGTAATAATTAATGGGTGCAACTAGTATACTGACCTCATCGACGTTCTCAAATGCATTGATGACATCATACGGCAAGCACGAGAGCAGATCGATCACAAACCAGGTCTTCAAGTAATTCATGCGAATCAGCTTTGGGTCAGAGATCACCTCTCCTGCTGGCCCCACAAAGGTGGTATGGAAATTAAGCACAATGTCTACCAAAAAAATGACATCTACAATGCTGTCAACTACTAGCCATGCCACATTGTTCTGTTTGGTTTTAAATGAGACATTGTAAGGGACCAAAATAGCAGTGTAGAAAGTTAAAATCAGGATGATCCAGTCCCACGTAGTCTTGAAAACACAATAATGCAAAATTATATGCGGTGGAGTCTTTGGTGCCTCTTGTTTGTACTGTGGGAGGATTTCAGAGCCCAGCTGCAATACCTGTAGTCACAAAGATTTCAAGAGAAAGAGAAAACATGCTTAATTTTTTAATGTTATTTTTCACATTGTAGATTTTCAAGATCAGTACAACAGTTGATAAAAATACATGTCCATTAAATCCTTTTATCACTACCAAACAGCAAGCAAGTCACAACAAATATTCTGTTAAGCAAATCGGCATCAACCTAAGAACAGTTTTTGTTTCTTTTAATGCCGTTAATTATTTTTACACTAAGGCTGATGTGCTAGGTCTCCAAGACCTATAGAGAAGAGACAGCTCTTTCAGGAGTCTAAAAAGATGAGACAGATAAATGATGGGAAGGCAGGCAGTTGAAAATAGAAATCAATGGCAAAACCAGGAACAATACAGCACTTCTGAGTTCCAGTCCAGCACTGGGACCACTGGACCACATACTGCTTCTCAGCATTGTCTATTTAACTCTTTGCTATACTGTATCTGAAATAGTCTTATACTGCAATCTATAATGAATGCATGGGCCTTTGTTCCTCTTCTCTGGGCCATGCAGGACCAAAGCCCATGGATAACTATCATCAGCCTCAATAAAGTCATTTTGAACACTAACTTTTCATTGAGAGAAGATCAGTGTCTTCACTATCTGATGGTGTAGAGTCGAGTTACAATGCAGTGAGGTCTGAATTCAAAAAAGCGCTACAACAAAAGATGATCTGTCAGCATGTGTTTTAAACCCTGGACCTCAAGCTGAGCATGTGCTCCAAGTGTTTTGCATAACTGCAATCTTGATCAATGCTGCCCATTTTAAGTCTACCATCTCTCTAGTTCTGCACATTAGTGGAAAAAGAGTATGATCATGTATTTAATTCTTGGGAACTACGGTTTCTTTTACATACCTATGAATAAGAATGTGTCTGTTTACATCTATGGATATACATGAAGGTGAAACCAACACGAAGGATCTGTCTCCAAATAAAGACAAGTTAAATGTTAAAATGAAATTTACCCTGGAGGAGTTTTGGGTGAAAACTGAAAGGAAGATAGAGGTTTACTCAAGTTAAATGTGTTTGCTAATACCAAACTCATAGAACCTGTGAGAAATATTTAGGACCATGGTTCCTTTTTCACATTTACTTACATGCAGTTCAGAGCAATAGGGAGCAGGGAAGGATATTAAATGGCCACCTTCTCAGGGAAAACATCAGACAACATAGCTATAATAGGAGGATGTCTTCCTTTCATGCTCCTTATCTCAGCTTTTTTAACGTCAATTATTTAGGCACAGATTTTTTATCTGCAGGCTTTTCTGATTGCTTTCTATAATTCTTTTTTTGTGAGCTGGTGGGCTTTTTTTCCAGCAGATTAAGCCAAAGGGGACAAAAGACAACAATCAGCTACAAGAATCCTGCCTGGACAAAACAGCCTCACATCTAGTTCCCTGCTGCTTTGAACCTCACATAATCACTTACTCTTGTGCACAACAGGGGTCAGACACTGTCAGATCACAGTCCCTTGCACATGTGTAAATGACAATGAGAGTTAGAAGCCTGCTGACTTTGAGACCAGTCTGTTCTCCAGAAGAGAGGTAGCATGACCTGCTCAGAGAGACCTGCATGTTAGCACAGAGGCATCAACAGTTTGAAAAAAATAAGAGGACTTAGTATTTTTGTTTCACTGAGTTTCTAGAATGACAGCAAAGAGGGAAAAGGAACATTTTCCCCTAAGCAGGACCCCTGCAGACCAAACTAGGACTCAGACATGTCCAATGCACTATTAAGTACTCTGCCACTCCTGACACTGATTCACGCAGGTTCTCCATACTACAAAATAATAATAAAAAAAAATAAACTAAAGCAAAGTTGCCTCGTGGTGAGAGGACATGGACCTGTTGGAGAGAGTCCAGAGGAGGGACACAAAGATGGTCAGAGGGCTGGAGCACCTTCCATACAAGGACAGGCTGAGAGAGTTGGGGTTGTTCAGCCTGGAGAAGAGAGGGCTCCAGGGAGACCTTAGAGGAGCCTTCCAGTACTGAAAGGGGGCTACAGGAGAGATGGGGAGGGACTCTTGATCAGGGAGTGTAGCAATAGGATGAGGGGTAACAGTTTTAAGCTGAAAGAGGGCAGATTTAGATTAGACATTAGGAAGAAGTTTTTCACTGTGAGGGTGGTGAGACACTGGAACAGGTTGCCCAGAGAAGCTGTGGATGCCCCATCCCTGGAGGTGTTCAAGGCCAGGCTGGATGAGGCTTTGAGCAACCTGGGCTAGCTGTCCCTGCCCATGGCAGGGGGGTTGGAACTAGATGATCTTTAAGGTCCTTTTCAACCCAAATCTTTCTATGAGTCTATGATTCTAAATTCTAGACTAAGAATTGTATAATGCATTCCATTTTTGGCCACAACTGGTCTCTTTTTACTCCAAGAACTTCTGGAAATATTGAATCATCCAAACTAAAGCTACTGGAAAATGTACCGATGTATTCCTATATACCTGGATAATAGGAACAAAGACAAGAACAATCTCTGTTTGGCAATAAAGGAGCTAAACTATGGTGTCCATTATTTTGCTGTAAATAAAAAAGTACAGTAAAGCCAGTGGAACCGCAGGGATGTAAAACTGAACTGAATGCAGAGAAAAACAGACTTCTGGTTTCAACTTGTTATGAAAATAAACAACTTTGCTTCTTCAGTGTTTTAAAATGTCATCACCAAGTACAAAGCACCGTCCCCTAGCTTGTTTAAGCTTCAAGGGTTACAGCACAGGAAAACAAAATGATTGATGTCTC